AGCGTGATCAACACGGCCTGCTCCAGGATTTGTGCTGTTGGCGAGTTTTGTGACTGTGACACATCCGTAAAGCATCTGACCTGGATTTCTCCCACTGATTCCAGCTTTAATTCCACAGTCCTCCGCGTTATTCATCCATGAGTGATGAACAACAGCTCCGGATGAGAGCAATGAAGTTACAGTCGAATCACACTCATATTGTGCGAGACGTGCTGGTGCTAAAAGAGAGTTAATAACACTTCATTATAATTGAGGGGAAGCTGGTGCTCATGATGTTGGTTTCTGTGTTTGTCGTCCTCAGCATCTGCGTCAGGAGCTGGAGCTGAAGTTCTACGAGGATCATTTCGACTGGGATCAGGTGCGTCAGAACGACGCGGCGGGTTTGTTGAAGATGTTCATCCGCGAGCTGCCGTATCCTCTGCTGACCCAACAGCACCTGCCGGCGTTCACAGCCGCTCAGAGTGAGTCTGAACATCCATATCTGCGTCTCTTCACTGACTGCTCAGAGTCACGTCTCTCATCTCTCCGTCTGTCAGGTATCTCATCACCCAAACATCAGATTCAGGCTCTTCATCTTCTCATCATGCTGCTTCCTGAAGCCAACAGAGACACACTGAAGGTCTGTTCATCTCATCACGCGCTCAAACGCTTCCTGAAGATGATCTGATGTGACTAAATAACTTCTTTAAGGCAGCAGTTCTCAAGCTTCTCTAAGACAATATCTGAACACCCTCCGAGATATTTCAAGTGGTGATGTATTAAATTAAATACATAAAATTATGATAAATAATTAGAATAATTAAATTTCATAATTCTAGTAACTGTATATTTTTTACAGAAAGGGTTATTATAGTTAACTAATACTCGAACCATAAAAAATTCCGTTACTTGAAGAAAAAAAAAGGTAATTGAAATAAAATATAAATAAATTACACTTATTTTGAGCTAGTTGCCAAAGCATCAATTTTAGTTTTCATTTAGTTACTTGATGTACTAAAATAACTAAAACTGAATTAGAATTATATTGACATAAAAAAACGTGACAAAACAACAAAATTAATAAAGAATTTAAATTAAGTTAGAATTAAAATTAAAACAGAAAATGCAAAAAATAAAACTAATTTAACATTAAACTATAATAGTATCTCAGTGATACTAAAACAACAGGTTCACCATTTTTACTTTTCATTATCAATGATTAACTTTTTTAGTTTGTGAGATTACAGGTGTTTAAAATGACTTTTTCGCTCACAAACAGCCATTTTGACTCAATAAAATATTATAGAGCTTGACAAAATGTGTGTATATATCTTATCTACATTGTTCAAGATCGTGAGAACCTGGTTCTTAAGCGAAAATTAATTAAATGATGATAAACAAGATATATGATTTTGGCTCGCATCGTTTTAGTCTCTTTAAATCTTGCTTTAAGTCATTTTAAGCCATCTTTTGGCCCCCTTGGAAGTGCACTGAGGGCCCATGTGGGTCCCGGACCCCCGCTTGAGAAAAATGTGTCCTCAGAGATGAGCTAAATCTGACAATCTGAGGATGTCCTCGTCTGAAATGCAGGTGGTTTTCTGTGCTTATAGTATTTATAATTGCCTGTGTATGGAATGTCTCTATTTAGATAGTTGAGTAAACATGTGTGGGTGAAGTATTCAAAGGAAGTAGATGAACCGGTCGGACAAATCTGTGATGACACGCGCAGTCTCTCCGGTGCCAGAATACAGAGAATCAGGCCGGTTTGACGTCATGCGTTTGGTGCCCATATTCTCATGTGCTGATTCAGTTTAATCTGTGTGCTGAAATCAGCTGAAAATGCAGTGCAGAGCGTGACGCCAGCAACGCCAAGGTCACGGGTTCGACTCCCAAGGAACAAATAAGCCTCGAATACAACGAGAGTCGAATGAATGCGTGTAAATGTGACGGGTTCCAGTGAAGTCACACGGCACTACCTGTTTGGATCCTCTCTAGTGATATAAAACCGGCCCGCAGGGCATCGGTGGCTGATGTTTGCCGTTTGTTGACTGCACGGTGTTTGTTCTCAGGCTCTTCTGGAGTTCCTCAGAAAGGTGGTGGCGTACGAGGAGAAGAACCGCATGAGTCTGTGGAACGTCTCCATGATCGTCGCGCCGAACCTCTTCACGTTTCGCGGGAAGAACGTCAGACAGGAGGAGATGCAGGGTGCGGTCGCTGCGGCCCAGCTCGTGCGTCTCCTCATTACCCATCAGGACCTGCTGTGGACGGTGAGCACCTGCAACATCAGCATCAGCGACTCCATCAGCGGTGCTCATGAATATTAATGAGGTGTCTTGGCTGATTGGCTGACATTGGTAAACGTTCACTGGAGGATCATCACAGACCGGTGAAGTCGGTGTTTTCCGCGTCTTTGGGACTGACATCTGCTCTTTACTAAAATAACTCAATCTTAATCAAATATATTTAAAAAAATAACTAAATATTAAAATAATCATTTAACCCCTTAACTGTCACCGTCCTGCTAGTTTTCTTCACTATATTACAATTAAATCCTAATCTAATCATGACAAACTATGTATCGTTGGAAAGGTCCAAGACTCCTAAATTGATGTTTTACCACTGTTTGCTGTTAAAAAATGATGTAGGAGCAGTAATAGATTAATTTATGACAAGAGTGCACCTCAAAACATATACATCATAACAGGAGCTTTCCTTTTTTTCCGATCACATGTCTTAGTAATCATCATATATTATATATCATTTGAAAGCTTAAAATCCTCAGAAGTCATCCTGTGAAAACCGTTTTGATATCGGACATTGCGTTACCATAGACCTTAAAATCTTTTAGCGGGCTCCTCCCCCTTAGTGCGAGGTGTCATATTACAAAATGTATTAGTCTTTATAAAAACTTATTAGAATCTTGACAAAATGCATATCGTCAGAAAGGTTATTTGTGATAGGAGTAATACTGAGAGAGAAATGTATACATTTGTGACAGAAAAATGCATCAAAACAATTCAGTGTGGTTTGGATGGCACCCGGTGGCTGTTTGTGGTATAACGCCTAAACTCAAATTTTTTTTATATCAACTTCAAATTTGGAACACAACTTATTTTAAACATATGGCTTTAATTTTATGCCAAATTTGGATTAAAACCTATTTTGTAAAATATTTATTTTATACAAAATAAAATAAAAATAGTACAGTAGTACATATTCTTTACAGTAAATTGGTGACAGTTAAGAGGTTAAATATTACAAATATTAAAAAAATAATATTATAATAAAAACTACATAGTAAAAACATAACTAATAAAATGTCACAGCAACATTTCTAAAACTTTAAGTAAAATTACAGTGAAAACGGAAAATGCAAAAAGAAAAATAATTAAAAACATAAAAGCTGTAATAGTATCTCAATAATACTAAAATAACACTGGTTCCGTTTATCTTTTATCACCAAAGAATTAACATGACTTCTCTAGTAATCTAGTGATTACAGGGTTGCTCAAAATGGCTTTTTCCTCACATATACTATTTCTATAATCTATCTAAAAATGTAAACAAATGAAGATGCATTTCTTAATTTCCATGACTTTTCCTGTGCTTATGAATATTAATGAGGTGTCTTAGCCAGTGGCGGAGCCAGGATGTTTTCATAGGGGTGGCCAGGGAGGGGCTTCATTATTATTTTAATATAAACATGTGTTTGACTATAAACTACTAGACTATTTTAGTGCCTAAAACACAACTGAATACAATTAATTTGTGAATGATTATATCAAATAATACTGAGTGAATATGACAGTTTTTGTATTATTCCTCACTTCCAGGTATTTAAAGTTCCACGTCTTAATAAATGCATTTCGTGTCAAGAAAAAGGGGACTGCAGTTTTGAGCAGGGTGTGGCCCTGGCTCCGCCCCTGGTCTTAGCTGATTGGCTGACATCTGTAAACAGGTGACGATCAAGTTCTGCGTTGTTGTGACTGATGTCGCTCTTCATGTCCGCAGGTCCCGTGCTTTCTGATCTCCCACGTCAGGAAAATGAACGAAGCCGCCATGGGCAAGAAAACACCGACTTCAGAGAAAAGCAAGCGCAGGCTACTGAGGAGATGGAACATGGAGAAGGAGCGCGAGCGCAGTGAAGTGAGTGCTGATGGGATGGAAGCGGTTCAGATGAGTGTGTAGTGAAGCGGGAGCTACAGGGGTTCATGAGCTGATGAAAATGTTTGGGAATCACGAACAGTCACTGTGCACATTTCCATGGGGCCGTTCACACAGAATTAGTGCTGGGCGGTATATCGAGTTTGTACGGTATTATCACGATACGATACAATACGGTTTATATGGATATAGAGTAGTTTGATACGAGCGCTTCTGAAAATATAGCGGAGGACACAGACTGAGCTGTGCATAATTCAGTTTGTTCTAAACATGTGACGAGCTTCATATCAAGGCCTTTAAAAACTGGTAAGACTTAGTTTCTAGTCTGGTTTGGTATATTAGTGTAAGCGGCTCTGGCTGAGACACTAGCTACTCGTGCTGTTTAATGTGTTTGAGATGTGCCGTCTTCCTGAATGCAGAACTTACATTTCACAGCTATATTCTCCGTCTGTAAATGTTAGAAAGCCATTTTTCTGTCAGGAGTGCATGAGCTTCTGCTTCGGGATTCTCCGCTAAACTCCACAGACTTCAGTGAACCAGCGCCAAACAGACGGAGCTCAGTTAAAACAGGAGCGCAGTAATTCTGACTAAAATATACATTTCGCTGAAATATTTGTAGTAAATGTGACACGTAGAGTTTTAAACCTACAAGTAAGTGTATTTTTATGATAGCACTGACTGTAATGCGGTGATCAAAATAGCCTAGCACAACTTTAACTCCGCTTTAAAAGCCTTATTTTTGTTTTTAGATTGCAATGTTAGAGTGAGATGAGATTTTAACCCTTTTTTGCACATAATATAATTATTTGGTTTTCATAGCCTTTAATATGTATTGTTTTGTTGGACAACATTGGGCGGTAAGTGAAATACATATATATTAAATACAGATTTTTAAAATACAAATACAGAGATATATACCGTATATCGCAAATCGGCCCAAAAATACCGAGATATGAATTTTATATGATCGCCCGGCCCTACACAGAATTATAAATTATAATAAAATAAGAGCGTGAATAATTTCAATAGCTTGTTTAGTTCCTAGTTTCCGAGTGAATTCGTTTATTGAGTCATTCTTTAAGATTTGGCGCCACCTCCTGGCGTAACAATGTTCAAACGCACACCGTCCGCGGACTGATACGAACGGTGAAAAGTCCTGGTGGTTACTGGAACTAATTAACTGTCTGTTTTCCTCAGGTCACGGACCTTCGCGACGGCGTCATCAGAGTTCACGCGCCGCTCCACGCCAAGGTTTCCATGGCGATTCAGCTGAACGCCGAGATGAAGGCCAGAGACATAACGGCGCGCTTCGACATCGAGAACGGGTGAGTGAACGAACGCACGCACGCACGCAGCGGTCACGTGACTGAACCGATGTTAACCGATAAATGCCGATTACAGGCGCGGGTCACGCAGCGCCGCTCGAAGACAGAGACAGTATCTGTTCGAGATCGGAGGAAACATCGGTGAGTTCAACGTTAACCATTTCTATATATATATATATATATATGTATAATTGCTATTTGTAAGTAAAAAGTAATTTAAAAACCCTGGTACTAAAAGAAAAACGGTGAACCTGTTATTTTACAGGTATTTTTTATTTCGCAATTTTTTTGTTTTCACTTAAATTTTTTTTTTTTTTGTCATTTTTATTATAGATTTTTAAATGTCTTGTTTTTATCAACATTTAGTTATTTTAGGAAAGAAAAATGAAGAGCAGACGTCTGCTTTAACGATAGAGTGTGAAAAATTGAAAATATGAGTTTAAAAGTCGTGATTATTACTTTAAAAGTTGAAATGACATATGTTGACGTTATGACATACAAAGTCAAAATAATTGACATAAAATGTAGAATCCGACACATTACATCAAACATATTACTTTAAAAGTCAGAATTATGCCTAAAAGTTGAAATTATGACATTAAGTCAAAAATATGGCTTCAGTCATAATTGACATTAAAAGTAGAAATTGACATGCTGAGTCAAAATTATTAAAAAAAGAAAAATTGATAATCATTTTTTGAGTTTTTTTAAAATGTCAACTTTGTCATAATTTTGACTTTTTATGTAATAATTGACTTTTAACGTCATAATTTCACATTTTTGTCAATTTCAACTTTTCATCTCATAATTATGACTTTAAATCAATTATGAAACAAATTTGATTTCAGCTGAATATTGACTGAATATTACCGGTGGTTTAATCAGACAGCATGTGTTAATCTGAAGTCTTGTTGTCTCCAGGCGAGCGCTGCCTGGATCCAGACGCACATTTACTAACCACCTGCTGTGTGTGTATGAGAGAGAGTGTGTGTGTGTGTGTGTGTGTGAGCGAGAGAGAGAGAGAGTGTGTGTGTGTGCGTGTGTGTGTGTGTGTGAGCGTGTGGGTGAGTGAGCGTGTGTCAGAGAGAGTGTGTGTGTGTGAGCATGTGTGTGTGTGAGCATGTGTCAGAGAGAGTGTGTGTGTGTGTGTGTGAGAGAGTGTGTGGAGCATGTGTCAGAGAGAGTGAGTGTGTGTGTGTGTGTGCGAGAGAGAGAGAGAGAGAGTGTGTATGAGAGAGAGCGTGTGTGTGTGTGTGTGTGAGCGTGTGGGTGAGTGAGCGCGCGTGTGTATGAGAGAGAGCGTGTGTGTGTGTGAGCGTGTGTCAGAGAGAGTGTGTGTGTGAGAGAGTGTGTGAGAATGTGTGTGAGCGAGCATGTGTCAGAGAGAGTGAGTGTATGAGTGTGTGTGTGTGAGAGAGTGTGTGTGAGAGAATGTGTGTGTGAGCATGTGTCAGAGAGAGTGTGTGTGTGTGTGAGAGAATGTGTGTGTGAGTTTGTGTGCGTATGAGAGTGTGTGTGAGAGTTTGTGCGCGTATGAGTGTGTGTGTGTGTGTGAGCGTGTGTCAGAGAGAGTGTGTGTGAGTGAGCATGTGTGTGTGTATGAGTGTGAGTGTGTGTGTGTGTGAGAATGTGAGTGTGTGTGTATGAGTGTGTGTGTGTGAGAGAGAATGTGTGCGTGAGCATGTGTCTGAGAGAGAGAGTGTGTGCGTGTGTGTGAGAGAGAGTGTGTGCATGTGTGTGTGTGCGTGTGTGAGAGAGAATGTGTGTGTGTGAGCATGTGTTAATTATACGCTAAAAATGAAACAATCCGCCAGCAGGTGGCGGCAAGTCATTGATTTTATCACTGAGTCATTCATTCAATTGATTAGTTCGAACGGCTGATTCATTCAGGAATGAAGCAAGTGACTCTCTTTATGAACTGACAGAAATTTACATAAGATATAGGGATTAAAGTTGTATCTTATGTCATTTTATGCCTTATGTCATTTTGCTTCTCAAGTAAATGTATCTTGATTTAAAGATGTTTAGATATTTGTACTGGAAAACATTTCATTTTTATTTTCCAGTGCATGCAACACTTAATGCCACGACTTAATGAATTTAAGACTCTCTGCTCTGATTTAACACCTTTTTAAGGCCTTCATCTGTGAAAGGGTGAATTAAGACCCGCAGAAACCCTGAACAAGTATCAAATCTAAACCGGTTATGAGTCAAAATTCACAAACCATCTGCAGGACTATTAAAACCATCCTCAGTACAAATGAACTGAGCTGTGTTTGCATGAACCGGAGGCGTTTAGGCAGCGTTATCCGGGCAGGAGTGAGGGAAGACGTGTGGGTGAGCGAAGGCGGCGCTGAAGTCCAGCTCATCGGTGACGTGGCCCTTAAACACGCGCAGGTTCCTCATGCAGCCGCGGAACGGCTCTGTGGAGCTCAGACAGTTCTGCTTCACGTCCGCTGCGAGAGAACACAGAAACACTGATCAGATCCACCGTCACGTCAGCTGCACTCACATCAGTGCCGTTATCGTTAATAACTAATGAACAACAGGCTCATGATGAGTGCACAGGATTATGCGAGCCGTACCTGGGTATCCGCCCACATAGATGGGGTTTTTGGTCTCGGCCGAGGTGGAGGATGAGTACGGGTTCTCCACGGTCACCGTCACACCGTCTACGGTCAGACTCAAGCTGTGCTTCTGCTTCTTGGCCACCAGGGTGCGCCAGCGGCCGTCACACATGGACACAGCGCTCCTGCTGCGCGCAGTGATCCGGCCCGCGCCGTTATTCACGTTAAACACCACCTGTGACGAGACGAGCGCACTATTAACTATCAGCACACACTGGAAATCACATGAGGGGCCAACATGATAAAAACAAAGAGTGGAAGTAAATGTGTGAATGGACCAGAGTGATTGTTAACTAAACTGAAATCATTAAAAAAAAAAAAATCGTAACTTTAAATGAAATGTGACCCTGGAGCACAAAACCAGTCCTAAGGGTCAACTTTCTGAAATTGAGATTTATGCATCATCTGAAGCTGAATAAATCAGCTTTCCATTGATGTATGGTTTGTTAGGATCAGACAATATTTGGCCGAGATACAACTATTTGACAAAATTGTATAAAATAACAAACTAAATAAAAAAATAAAATATGAAATACTATATAGACAAATTGCATAAAATAAGTAAACTGCATAAAAACAACTAAACAAATAAAACCTGGCAAATAAAAATGAATAAAAGCTATACAAATTGCATTTAAAAAATGCATAAAATAACTAAGACTGAATAAACTAAACCTGGTAAATAAAAATTTATAAATACTATACAGACAAATTACATAAAAAGATAAATGAAAATGAACCTATAAATACAATATGGATTGCATAAAATAACTAAACATAGTAAATTAAATTACTTAATTAAATTAAACCTAGTAAATAAAAATACTATATAGACAAATTGCATAAAAAACAAAATGCATAACTAAAATACATAACAAAATAAAAAATACTATATAGACAATATATTATATATAAAATAACAAACTAAATAAAATAAATATATTAAATACTATATAGACAAAATGCATAAAAAATGCATAGCTAAAATACATAAAATAAAATATAATATATAGACAATATTGTATATAAAAAATAACAAACTAAATAAAATACTATATAGACAAATTGCATAAAATAAAATGCATAAAATAATTAAAAATAAAAAAACTAATGATTAAAAATAAAAAAATACTATATTGATAATGTAAAAAAATAATGAAAATTATAAAATTACTAAAACTTAAATTAAAATGAAAACAGAAATATATATATATAGTATATAGTATATAAAAACTAATTCACGATATGAACAGAATTACAGGAGTATATGAATGTTACTAAATGAACACTGGTGGTGTCTTCAGCACACAGAGAAGGTGTTGGTGATATTAACCTGTCCGCTGACGAGCTCCAGGCCGATGGCGTCCACCTTAGTGCTGCTGATTCCCAACAGAACCCCATCCGGCGCCGTGGAGCGGAAGTCCAGACTCACGGAGACGTCCGAGCCCACGTTATAGCCCTCTTTCACTGCGGAGAGAGCGAGACGTCAGCCTCTGTTCTGAGCACTCATCATTCATCATCAGTGTCAGACTCACTGAAAGCGGCGTATCCGCTGCCGCTGAAGAAGCTGCCGCTCTGAGCGCGTCTGAAGCAGGAGCCCGCGGCGTGAGACGACAGCGCAGCGCTCAGCTTCATCTGGACGCCGCTGAACATCACGTCCCGCAGACACGCCGCCAGACTGTGTGTCACCTGAAGAACCACAGTTTAGGATCAGCACAACGCCACATTTCTGACCCTGGGGGCGTATTACACAACGTTTCTTATCTTAGGTCTTAACCCAAGATATGGTACGTTAAATTAGGATTTTTCGCAAATTCGTATTACAGAAGCAAATCTTAAAAGTGATGCGTTACAATGTTGCGTTACTCCCTAAAAAAGTAACTAATTATGTTACTTAGTTACTTTTCATGGAAAGTAATGTTACTTTTGAGTTACTTTTTAAATCTGGGAAGTGCTTGCTTGTTTGTTTTTAATATAGAAAGTTATTTTACAAATGTAAAGCCCTTTCACAACAAAGTGAAGTGAATGCGTCTCAAGCTGAAGGAAATGTAATTTCACGTCTGTACAGTAGAGGGCGCCGCTCAAACTAATCTCAGGAAGAATATGACGCAGGAGAAGAAAGTTCAACACTATTCAGCAATAACTAAAATTAAACACAAATGTGTCATTTTTGATTATTAGTATGGTTGAAGTGGATCATCGAAGGTCAGCAGCAAAGACATCGGTTCATAAAATGGGATTATTATTACGTTTCAGATTCTCCTGGCGGTGTATGAGGCAGGAAGTCCGCAGGGGAA